CTGCGTGCGCTCACAGAAATCAGCGCCCCGGCCTGTCTGCCAAGTTACTGTTCACTCTTTATTGTGCCTTCCAGATTCAGAGCCTCTCTGCTGCCCTTCTTCTCTCGTTTTCCTGGGTTCCATCGGTGTGCGCCACCTTAAATTCCCTTTGCTGCTGCTCCAGAAGAGTGCGAGAGGAGCAGAGGGACACGACTGAGCCCTCCCCGTGCCCCTCTCAATAAACCCCTCATCAACCCCTCTCCCCCAAAACAAAGCAATAAAACCTCACTGCCATTGAGTCAGGGCCAGCTCATAGTGACCCTGTAGGACAGGGTGGACCTGCCCCTGAGTTCCCGAGACTGTCACTGTTTCAGGAGCAGACAGCCGATCGCCCTCCTGCAGAGCGGCTGGCGGTTTCAAACTGCCGACTGTTTGGATCAGCTTGATGTGTAACCACTAGGCCACCAGGGCTCCACTCATCACCAATGGTCTGTCTTTATTCCAACCTAGGCATCCTTGGGCATGAAGGACAGGATGTCGTGGCTGGTTATGTGCAACAGATAGTCCAAACACTTACCTGGTGTGGTAGGAGTGCCAGCCAATCCGGACGGATAGATGGCCTCACCGCTGATGCCCGCTGGGCGGTAATCACACCAAGTCTTCGATGAGAGAGGAAGCCCTTGAAAGCACAGAAGCGAGCACCCCGTGACGTGAAGGGCTCCAGATAAAAAGCTGCAGTGACTTGTCCTGGTTTGTCATCCTGGACTCTGTGCCTTGCATGTAAATGCCGGCCTTGAGAGGGAGCAGAAGGAGCCTCTGGTGTGAAACGAATGTCCACAGGCCGGGCGGATCCAGAACAAAGCAAGGGTAGAAGAGCACTCGGCCACGCCGTGCGCAGTCAGGCCCTGCTGGACGGCGGCATCTCGGCTCCAAGGGAAGGAGTAGCAGCAGAGAAAAAGCAGCATCTTTAAGGAAATCGGCTCCCTTGCTTTGGAATTCAGAGACGCTCCCAAGGGGGTGTGGTTCAGCTTTCCAATGTACAAAGAAAGGTTGTGGCAGATCCAGATTCAGAGTAAGGAACCCCCAGCCGGAGGACATTTCGACCATTCTCGGGGTCTTCATGAACAAGAAGTAACTGGCGGTATTTCACGTTCACTGGTTACAAGTGGTTCAGGCAGATCAGCACCCAGGCATCTCCTGCCCTTTATATCTGGAAATCAAGCAATGTTTCTCTTCTCTGTAGGATCTTGAAAATTTAATCTAAAGGGGTTCAGACTCGCGCTTAAAATGATCTGTCGATAATAGGAAGGGCAGGGTAGTCCCAGGTAACTAAGGAACCCCACGAGGGAAAACTCTACTTTGCCCAGTCATTCCACCTCAGACATTTGGAATGGAAAATAAAAAACCCACCTTTTGCAAGTCCCGTGAAAGGACCAGTGTAGGCAAAGATCATGAGCAGATGGTAAAAGCATTTAGCCAGGGCATGGGGAACTGCACACAGATTATTTACCACTTACAAGGAAAAAAATGTTTTCTTGGCAGGGGCGTGCTCTGGGGTCACCAGGTGATCCCCCAATTAAGCACACTGTTATGTGGATCCCGGTGAGCTAGCATATGAACAGACAGCATCATCTGTGACATGGTCTTCCTGCCAACAGTATTTGCCGTGCATCTAAAGCATGCAGGTGTCATTTCCAGGGTAGGCGGCAAAGGAGGAAGAGCAAGTTCCAAGAAGCCATGGGGGGAACAGACAGATCCAATCTGTGGGGGATTCTCCAGCTGGTCTTGTCTCTCCAAGGGGCCAGGGCAAGGAGAGTGATCTTGGTTAAAATAGACTTCAGTGGCATAACTTTGAATCGATTTAGGCTGGACCAAATTATAAAAGATGCTTCGGGTGACTGGAGAGATTTGACACAGCGCAAGCATTAGCTGTGCTCAGCAGTGTCCGTTTGGGTAAGTGTCTTAATGAGATTGCTGTTGTGTAGGAAAGGGTCTCTATCTTTTTCAGAAATGTGTGAACTAATGTATTTAGGGGTGAAGTTTCATGATGTAATTTACTTAGAAATATTTCAGCAAGGATCGATATATAGATACAAAGCAGACTGGGCAAAATGTTAACTGTTGTTCCGCCAAGGTGTTGGTATATGGACGTTCATAGTTTTCGTCTCTGTCCCAAGTACCCTATTAAGAAATTTAGTGAAATGACTAGGCGGGTAGGGGTGGAGGAAGGGCAGATTGATTCAGGGTGGGTTGGAGGCTGGATGGAGCCCTAAAAAGATTGCCTTGAGATCGTCTTCAAGCGTTAAACCAAAAGTATCCCCTGAAGTCGTCGTAGTCGTCACTGTATTATTATTTTTAAAAAAATTTTTGTCACTTTATTTTTAAGTTTAATGTATTTGAATAGCAAACTGACAGCAACAGCACAGAAGACAGGCAACATTAAAAGCATATCCTTGCGCGCAGGACAACTTAGAGCAGCAGAGCTAATGGCCGGAATTGGCCGTGTGATACTGCCACAAACACCATTTGGTTGTCATCAAAGAAATTTACGGGGTCACCACCAGATCGCGGGAGGGTACAGGTGCTATGCGGCTCAGGGCAGCCCCCTGGGGTACCATGCGCGGAACCTAAGCACCACCCTCATTTTCGGCCGCTTCTTCTGTGTGCTCGCTGCCCTCTACCACATCTACTTCCAGCCCCTAATGCGGCAGGAGGAGAATGAGGAGGAGCCGGCTCTCCACCGCCTGGTCTTGCCAGCCTAGGTGCTGCGGCCCCGGGGCTGAAAGTGGGGTCGGATCCCTTTGGCTGGGAGCGAGGCGTGTGGATGTCAGTGTCAGCCGGCCCTCTGTGTGTGTGACTGAGTGTGACTCCTCCCTCCTCCGCGTCCAGAGAACTCAGAAACAAGCCTCAGCCCCAGGAAGGCTTCCCTGGTGCGGGCAGCTTTCCGGAGACAGAGCGCCCTTGCACACCTGTGCGCAGTGCGGGGCCTGTGTCCGTTTAGCCGCTGCCTTCCTGTGCTTGGGCTGAGCGGCCTGGCAGGGCTCTTTGAAAATGTGGAAGTTGATAAAAGGGCTTTGAGAACAAGAAGATACTTGAAAAATAAACACCCCGCCTCCCCATCCTCAGGTGAAGACGGCGCCCCGTGGGAAGGAGGACAGGAGGGCTCTCCTAAGAGCAATCAGTGGTAAAGGAATGGAAGGGAAAATGCGTCTTAAAATTAGGTATTTTTGTTTAAAAAAGAAATTTACTTGTTCCTTAAAAAAAAGTCCAAATGCTAGTATTGTCCAGAAAAAGTGAAGCAGGTTTATTTTAATTGCCGTAAAGGTGGACCGCTGAAACACTCACTGGAACACTTTGACTTACATCGATGCGTTATGTCCCCGCCTTCATGTGAGCGATTCACACACAATGAACGTGGGAAAACTGCCAATGCCCGATTTCTGCCCCCTAATTTTCCATTCGCAATCATATATTCAGGAACTTTTGACCTCGTGGGAAACCCCCAAAAAATCTAATGTCCGGAACGACCAATCACAGGAAGAAGCCACACACACGGCAAAGAATCAAGTGTTCCCCATCACAGTGGCTTCTTAAGCACTTTCTCCACGTGTGCAGCACGCTGGCTGCCTGTCTTTTGGCCTAATTGCTGGCTGTTTGGCAGGGATGGCGCCCAGGTGAGTCTCTTCAAAAAGACCACGGCGATAGACCCCACTGGCCTGCAAGCCACCAATAGCTCACTCAGGAGGCGCAGATCTGTTGGGAAGTCTTGAGCAATACCTTGCACCAGATGCTGGGAAGGACGTTTGGAAATCGGAAAGTTGGTGCATGTCTCCTTTCACGCAAGGCCACAGCACCCCGTCTGTGACAGGGAGCTGTCTTTGCCCTTCCAGCGGGGGCTCCGTCCTGCCAACAGCTGGTGAAGCCAGCCTCGTCCTGGGTGCTTACACACAGGTTGGTAGGCGGGCAGTCTGCTGTGTCCGTACCGACCCCTGCTCACTCTCCTCTTCTTCTGCTGGAGGCCCACAGCAGGCAGGGGCTGCGAACGCAATTCCAAGTTTTCTTAAGATCAGATCCTTTAGCTTGATGGGTGAAGCATGCCTGTCTGGAACTTTGTCCTATTCCAAGATGGAGCGATGCGGGATCCAACTGACAACAGCAGCCCAAAGGATTAAATATGAAATTTAGGGAGCGGTGAGTCATCATGGGGGGAACCACTCAGAGGAAGGCGAGAATGGAGAGTGGGCTTTTGCACGACTCAAAGCTTACTGTCGACACACTGAATGATCCAAGGAGGAACGGTCGACTGGTGCATGTTTTGCTGTGTGTATCCTCAGTACCACCACCAACAAAAGTTTAGTGAAACGACCCTGCAGAAGTGCACAGGCCTGGCCTGACTGCTTGGGGAGCAGCTGGGGTGCGTGGTGGCCCCGCAGGACCGCAGTTGTCTGTGGCCCCCAGGAGGCACATTCCTTCTTTGAGTTCGCTGGAGCAACGGAGGGAGGCAGGTTTTGAGGTCAGAGGCCCTATCAGAGGCCCAATAGGTACACCCTGGCCCCGCCACTCATACTCAAAGACCTCAGTATGCGAGGGCTTTGGAAGAGTGAATGTACTTCCAGAGAGCCCACTTATCCTCAGGGAGGACTTACTTCCGGGCAAGGCGAGATGGAACCCTTCAGGCCTGCAGTGTAGGGGGCGTGCACCCTCGTGGGTGCGGCTGTGTTCATTGGGGTCTTTCCCTCCCCTCCCCAAGTGAAGTCACCTACAAGGACCTCCTTGATAGGATGGGAAGCAGAGTGTATTTTCTTACTCTCCTTTTTCTTTTTTGAAGCCCAGTCCACGCCGCCCACCCTGCCCAAACAGTCTGACCCGGCCGACACACTCAACTAGCGACGCCGAGTCTGAGCCGAATGCAGAACTGCTTCCTGAGAGGAAGCTGTGCTAAATTGTTCCTGAACGAAAGCTGTCACTTAAGAACTGTGTTTCCCGCCCCACCGGGTCCCCTGTTTCTGATGTGATTGCAGGGAGCTGGACTGTGCCATGCTGCGCCGCCTGGAGAAGAGGGTTCTGGTTGATCTCCCCAGCCAGGAGGCCAGGCAGGCCATGATCCACCACTGGCTGCCCCCCGTGAGCAAGTGCAGAGCCCTGGAACTGCACACGCAGCTGGAGTACGGAGTGCTGAGCCAGGTAGCTGCCAAGCTCCGCCCCCTTAGCTGTCATGGAGAGAGGCATCTGCAGGCCAAGGGCTCACCACATGGACAGACTTAGACAGGGGTCTTACCATGAGCTGTGAGGAGCAGTCTCACTCTAGATCCTTAGAAAAGACCCAAGCCGGCCCAGCATTGCAATGGGCCTGTTTTTCATGAACAAGCCCGCTCTCCATCCCTCAGGAACATTCAAGCCGAGAGGAAGAAGGTGATGTAGTGGAAATGGCCAAGGACTTAGAATCAGAGGCCCAATAGGTACACCCTGGCCCCGCCACTCATTAGTTGGGTGACCTCAGAGAAGGCCGTCCCTGAACTTCAGCTCGTCACCTGGGAAATGAGGGTCACGGGTGAGTATAAAGGAGTGCTGTGAAGACTGAGTGGGGGCTCTTTCCCCCTCAGCAAAGCTCTAGGTACATGTCTGTTATCCCCACTGTCACTGGAACCCAATTGTCTAGGGTCTTTGGGGAACTTACCTGATTTGGGTGGGCCCTCAAAACACCCTAATGTCTGACCTCCTTCAATGTAGCTATGTCATTATTGACAAGAACCGAGATGTCAATCAAATCTGAGCCTTAGTGTGGGCACCATGACCCACTGGGCTCACTTGGGTGGCCGGCCTGGCGGGTGCTACATAGGCTGCCAACCATATGCCTCTGGTGGCTTCTCTGTGCTTGGCCTTGGGAAGGTGGTTATTTCCCAGTGTCTGCCCCCAGCCCTAAGGCTCTGGAACCGTGGCGAGCGGGACACTCTAAATAGGGGTCCTTGCATTACATCTGGCCCGTGAGAAGGTCATCTGCATCCCCCGTCTGCTTGCTGACCGCTGGCTGGGTTTGCGGCTGTTTCAGGAGACTGAGGGCTACTCCGGCTCGGACATTAAGCTCGCCTGCAGGGAGGCAGCCATGCGGCCTGTGAGGAAAATCTTCAACACACTGGAAAGTCACCAATCAGGTAGGGTCTGGGCCATCCCGAAGGTGCTCTGGGAGGAAGAAATGTGTTTAAAAATCCCACTTTCACCAGCAGATGGCGCCTTGCCCCTGTTCTTGGTGGGCCAGCACACAGGCAACAGGTGCTTGGTTAAAAGATCCAGCCTGCACTCAACTCATGCCCCCCCTGGTGTCCCGTTTTGGACCACCTCTGCCCGCAGAGGATACACTCCTTAGTGCCGGGCTCTTATTTCTCTGGCAAGCTATGCCATCGGGCTGCATCCATTCGAGGCACTAAATAAATATTAAACAATACTCTGATAACAGTACATTTAAGTTACTTTGGGGGGGGGGCTGGGGGAAGGTGCTTTGGGGCTTCTGAGGCTCACTAAGTTGCACATTAGAGAATTTTCTTTGCACCCTTTTTAGTCTTGCCTTTGCTGCATGAACCATTCGTATGCTGCATTATGCATTGTCTTGAAAGGGCTGTTAGCATCTCAGTGCATTGATCACCACGAGGTCGATGGCTGTGCAGCGCTGCTTGTGTTTTCCTCTAGAGAGCTGCAACCTGCCTCCCATCCACTTGGATACGGTGACCACTGATGATTTTTTGGACGTGTTGGCCCACACCAAGCCATCAGCAAAGAATCTAACAGAGAGATACTCTGCCTGGCAAAGAGACTTCGAGTCTGCGTGAAACCCCACACAGCCAGCCCTGCCACACAGGCAACCACGGGCCTGCTGCGGTCTTAGTGGCAGTGGGCGACGACCATCACGGCTGGAATGGAAAGGAGAAATGACTTCACGAAGGCTGGATTAGCTTGGACCAACTACTGTTTTACAAAACCAGAACTATCCCCCTTCGTTATTTTCTCCACCAGAGAGGCAAAATATTGCACATTTCAATGACGTGGAGATTTTATTTTTCCTTCACAGTAATAGATGGTGTAACATTTTGATGAACAAGTGCCTGTCGTGTACCTCTTAGTGAATGCGGGTCCTCATTTTGATGTAAAAGACGTTTGAGAAGTTGTGTGGGAATGCATGGCCGGGGGGGTGGGTGGGGTGGGGGCGGGCTCTCTGGGGTAGGGCCGCCCACTGGACATAGACTTTGACAGATGGTCTCTGACCAGTCAAGCTTCCAGGGTGAATAGGGGCAGCGGTGGGCCAGGCAGGATATAGGGAGTCTGCTGCTTATTCTTGACAACATTCTGAATCTCATGACTCACTCCGCGCCGGTGAGTTGATTCCGACTCATAGAGACTCTCTAGGCCTGGGCAGAACTGTTCCTGTGGGCTTCCGAGACTGTAACTCCTCCCGGGAGTAGAAAGCCTCCTCTTCCTCAATCTGACCCTGCTCAACCAAACATGCAGCAATCCTCACTCCTTGTGCCTGAGTGGTCTACTGGATCCTCCTGCCTCATTTCCCAAGCCTTCTTTGCCCCTCTTTAAAAAATAACAGAACACAACATTGTCCAAGTCAACGTTTTTCAGGTGTGGAGTTTAGTAAGAACAATTGCGCTTGTGATTAAAAAGAAAGAGGCACCCTCTTCCACCCTCCTTCCCATTCTCGGTGGGTGGGTGCCACCCAGTCGTCGCGACCCCGCCTGGCAGAGGGCCGTCTCAGGGGGTTGTCGTCGCGACCCCGCCTGGCAGAGGGCCGTCTCAGGGGGTTCTCTTGGCTGTCGTCTCCCCAGCCAAGTCGTGCGCCAGTTCTTGCTTCTGTGGAGTTGCTGGCTGGGCTCAGACCTCCACTGTCACGGGCAGCAGCTTCGACAGGGAACGCTCATCTGTCTGTGCAGCCTCTCCTGCTCCTGGCAACCACCGTAAGCGCTGCTCTTAGACCCTGGCCTGTGCTCGCCATGTCGTGCGAGTGAGGCGGTACAGTGCTTGTCCTTTGGTGTTGAACTCTCTTCACTCAACAGGTTTCCAGGTCCATCCATGCTGTAGCATGTATAGATGAATAACAATTGCACGAATCATGTTGGGATTTAAAAAGGTACTCTCTTCCCTCCTCCTTCCCACCCTGTTGGTGTTGGACTTTGTCTTTCTTTAGCCCCCTATGGCCACACACTGCCCTGAAGGGATGTAGCGGACGCTTAGCCCTTTGCTCCCTGACGGACAGGACAGTTAGCTTGCTCCCATCTGTGGCTACTGTGAATAGTGCTGCAGGGAGCATGGGTCTGCTGGTGCCATCGGAGTGGCCGTGCTGAGGCGGCTAGGTACCGAGGAGGGGGACCGCTGGGTCCCCTGGCGGTTCCCGTTGGACTTTCTGAGACACAACCGCAGCCTCCTTTGACATTCCCAGGTAGCAAAGGAGCCCTTTTTGTACCTGGAGCCCCTTTCGTTGGAGTGAACCAGCACCTCCTTGTGGTTTTGATTGGCATCTCTCTACAGGCTAATGCAGTTGAACAGCTTCTCATGTGCTGTTGGCCATGTGAACACCCTCTTTGGTGAAATGGCTATGGCCTTTGCCCATTCTTGGCTTGGGTTGGTCAGATAAGTTGTATGGTTCGATGAGGAGGCTTTTAAAAATTCGTGGAAAAATTCCGTTATCTTTCAACTCCATTTTCCTCCAAACGTTTTGAAGCCCCCTCGTGTATAAATACAGGCATTTGCTGAGGGCCAGACGAGACCTGGTCCTGTGCCTTTCAGAACTGGCAGGTCAGTCACAACAGGTGGACCTGGTGCTTTTGGAGAAAGACGAGGCTTTTAACTCCTGGAGAGAGTCTCCGAAACCCATAGGGGCAGCTCTCCCCGGGCCTGTAGGCTAGGAGTTGGAATTGTCTCAATGGCGGGCGGGTGGGGAGTGTTAGTGCAAGGAAGGATTCCTTGTGGTGTAGTGGGTTATGAGTTGGGCTGCCAACTGCAAGGTCAGCTGTTTGAAACCACCAGCTGCTCTGTGGGAAGACAGATGAGGCGATCTCCTCTCGTAAAGATTTACAGCCGCAGAAACCTTAGGGAGCACTTCCATTCAGTTCATTAGAGTTGACATCGAGTCCGAATTAACTAGCTATCAGGTCGGTGGTTCAAATCTGCTCTGTAGGACAAATGAGGCTATCTGTTCCCCTAAAGCAGTGGTTCTCAACCTTCCTCATGCCGCGGCCCTTAATACAGTTCCTAATGTTGTGGCGACCCCCAACCATAGAATTATTTTCATTGCTACTTCATCACTGTCATTTTGCTACTGTTATGAATCAGGCACCCTGGGTCGTTCGACACCCAAAGGGGTTGTTCCCCACAGGCTGAGAACCGCTGCCCTAAAGATGTAGTCTGGGAAACCATACGTCGGGCTGCTCTGTGTTAGAACCCACTCACTGAGGGCAGGGTTGGTTGGTCGATGCAAGAAAGAAACCCTGCTGGTGCTGTGGGCTGGGCATTGGCTTTGCTGACTGCAAAATAAATGGTTCAAACCCACTAGAGGCTACATGGGAGAAAAATGAGGTTGTCTGCTCCCGTAAAGATGCAGTCTTGGAAACCCTACGAGAGCAGTTCTACTCGGTCCTCTAAGGTCACTGTGACACCCTTAGGAACTGATCTCGTTCGTGCCCGGCAGACTGACTGCCTGTAGAACAAGTTTAAAACAAACAGAAAAAAACACAAAAAAATGTTTTCCTCTTAGAGCGTGCCAACTGTAAATTCCAGCACAAGCACTTAGGTATGACAGTGTGTGTGTAGCTAGTGACACCCTCTGTACAACCCTGACTCGATGGCCAGAGACCGCCGGACTGTTAGATTCCCAGCACCTGCTCTGTTGGGGTCATCTGGTCAGCTTGTCAGTTGGCAGTTTGGGTGCAGCTGTTGGCTCACCTGCTTGTGGCCACGATCGCCTTTTCGGAATCCATAGGCTGCGGCTGCTGACCCCTTGCTGTGGTTGGCCAGGGAAGCACGATCTACTTTCCCAGCCCACACTGAGAGGAGACGCCTGCGAACCGCATGCTTGGGGAGCACCTCCTGCTCCTCTTCCTGACTCTTCAGCATGGGGGTGCTTCTGCCAGCCTTCTCAACAAGTACTTGCAAACCTGTTTCCAGTCCCGACCCCGACCCATGCTTTACACTCGCCATTCCTTTTAAAGATCTCCAAGTTCACCTTCCTTTACTTGAACAGCGGTTCTCACCCTGTGGGTCACGACTCCTTTGTGGGTCGAATGACCCTTTCACAGGGGTCGCCCGATTCATAACAGTAGCAAAATGACAGTGATGAAGTTTCAATGCAAATAATTTTATGGTGGGGGGTCACCATAACATGAGGGTCACGGCATTAGGAAGGCTTCGTTCCCTTGGAAAATCTATCTCGAGTATGTTTTGTTTTTTTT